CGAACTCTTACAGCCTCTTCATACCGACTTGGTGAAACACGGTGTGAAGGATACTTTTGAATTTGTTGAAAGGATATAAGATTTAAATGTTGACAATAAATTCATGATATCATTTGACATATCTTCCTTATTCACCAATGTACCAATTATGGAAACAGTGAAGTTTGTATGTGAAAAACTCAAAAGACGAAACATCGATGTTGTAATTCCTATATCTTTTATGAAAGAGCTTCTCTTGAAATGCACAATAAATGTCCACTTTTTATTTAATAAGGAACTATATAAACAAACCGATGGTGTGGCAATGGAGTCACCACTAGGACCCATTCTAGCCGACATTTTCCTTGCAAAACTAGAAAATGGGCCTTTGAAAGATGTAATCGATGAAATTAAATTCTATTATCGGTGCATGGATGATACATTTTCGATTATAAAAAATGAGAAGGAAGCAGATGACATCCTGGATAAATTTAATGAGGTTCATCCTGCAATAAATTTTACTATTGAGAAAGAAAAAGATTATAGTGTTTCATTTCTAGACGTCTTTATGACCAGAAAAGAGGATGGCACAATAAGAATAGGTGTATATAGAAAACCTACATCAACGGGTTAGTATACTCATTTTCTCAGCTTCGTGCCTTCGAAATACAAACGCAATCTAATAAAGTGCTTGGTTCACAGAGCAAGAGAGACTTGCTCGGACGAATGTCTTGATGAAGAACTGAGTAATATTAAACGGTTGCTAAGTGAAAATGGTTATCCTGAAAAGTTTATTGATAAGAATATGAATCTAGAACCAAAGCAGCCGAAGTTACCAACAGTCCCAAAAAGGGCCATATTTTTACAGATACAGTTCCTTGGGGACAACACTAGCGAGATACTAACACAGTGCCTTGGAAATGCGGTAAAAAGATCATTCCCTGCTGCCGAATTACTCTGTATCTTTAAAACCATTACTCTTTTGCGTTCGGGAGTAAAAGAAAATCTTTCTAATTTCGCCTCTTCCACGTGTATCTACAAATTTAACTACTCCTGTGGAGCCGTACAATTAGGTGTGTTTCTCGTCGAATTTCTGAGCATCACCCTGCTTGGTTAAGCAAAGGACAAACAAAATCTATTCGCAGCGCTATTCTGTCTCATCTTGTGGATACAGAACACAAGATTGACGTTAATCATGGTTTCAGGTTCGTTTACTGCATACCTACGAATCTCAATTTTGCCTTAAGAGTTCGACTACTAAATATTGCTGAGGCTGCTAGCCAAATTGGTCGACATTGATTTACGTCAATGTTCATGTCCCAGATATTGGTTGTGAGAAAATATGAACAAAGACTGATTCAACAGCCAACCACTGCACACTTTGCGTAGGCGAATACAGTTAACATATAGATGATCTGACATTCAAGAAACAGTCACAAAGAGATGCAAGGTCAACTTTCCGTGAGAAACAACCAGTCAGAAGACTGTGTTTGTTTGCTTGAATAAGCTATAATAATGTACATGAAAATCTGTAAATACGTGTTGATTTCCGTAATAAACGATCTGTTGCCTGGCCCTTGTCTTCTGTTGTTACACTAGTACTAAACTATAATATTCTAAAGAAATTATAGTCATCATATACAGATTCATATTTTGTGGTTCTCTGAAGTTGATTTTCATTTATTTGCATACACCTGTATGATGTATTTCTAAAGGTAGGGGAGAAATGAGACGGATATTTTTTTAACTCATGATAAGTCATTTATGGTGCAGAAGATTTTACCAAGCTCAGAGCAAGATACTGCAGCATTCTCCTAAAAATCTGAGATAAACACTGAAACTTTACATGTTTAATTTAACCTGCTTAGTGATTTATCATCATAGTTATAGTGTGACAGTAGGAGACAAGGGAAGCTCAGGATCGCTATTTAGCATCATTTGCACAGATCTTCAGTGTTTTGCTACTTCTGTCCTTCATAATGTGTTTCTTTGTCTTCCTATCGAGTCTCCTATGTTTCTCCACCACTCTGTATTATTTGCTTTCTTTGACGCCAACTCTATCTCCCTACTATTTGATATCCCTATGCTGATGGACGTTTCTTTATACACACTACTGATAAATCTTATAAGTAGCACACGCCAAAATAGTATTTACGTGTGTGTTAATAGCAATACAATGATTATTGGCAGTTTTATTAATCTGCTTTCACTAGTAAGTGATCCTTTAAAATTCTTCTGAGTAATCATAAATAGATATTGGAAGTAGAGTGGAAAATATTCGATGTTGTTGATTATGACATTTTAACATGAAAAATAACAATAAAAAAAACTAGAAATGAGTATGAAATGGTGAATTTCTTATCAGTTCAGTTTCTCCAATCGTACTAATTTCCAGCTACGCATTATTTTATAAAGGAAAGTTTTCTTGACTTATAAGCATTCAGAAATACAAAGCAATAGAACTACCAGGTTATGTGACACTCATTTTACAAATAAGAACCATTGTATGTACAATGACTATTCTTTTCTGTAATACGTAGGATGAAACTCAAACACAAACATCATTGAATTGGATGCTGTCAATAATCAATAATTTTTAAACACTTCAGTATAAGTTACATCAAGAAAAGACATCACTAAGAGAATTACTGGAAAATTAAGTGTACCAGACCTCTGTTTCGTCATTGTTTGAGGATCTAAACAGGAGTCCAATCCAGAATCTTCAAGCTGACTGTTAAGCCAATAGACTGGAATCCAGTAGACGGTGAATTCTAACTTCCGTCATTTTGCACTACGAATGTACAGACACCCAATCCCATCGATTAGCATCTGCTTTCACATGTGACACGATGGGTCAAAATTACTTTGGATTCTCATCAGAACTTTGCAGCACTCATGCTTAAGCTACTGATGATAAGGAGGTGACTGATACTAAAGATCTGGGTATTTACGGATTGTGAATAATTTCACTAAAGATTTTGTGTTATTAAATACACTGAAAAGCTAAAACACCAAATGGGACCAACACATGTGTTTAATGCTCCTTGGTTTCCAATAATTCTGTAACTTCATACATTTATTCCCCTTAATGAATTTGAACAAAGCAAGAACTACAGTTTTAGCAGAATAAAATGGTACCATCTTTTGTTTCGTTGCCTTCTCGTCAGCTGCTTACATGGCAAAGACATTATTAAATATATCTACAACAACAATTTTAACATACTTGCATAGAGTTCAGTTTAAACAAAAATCAATCGATCAATATACTCATACACTAAAAATATATACATATATAAATATGCAATATTAACCACTATTCCGAACAATAATAATCAAACACAATGGAAACTTTTAGCATTTCACATTCGGAGGAAAGAGAGGTGAAATTATCCAGTTACCAGGGGAAAGAAAGACTGATAACCGCTTCTTTCTGGACGCATAAATCAGGTTTCTGTCTGTCTGTCTGGATTCAACATAGAACTTGGCATCAAAGTGCAGCAGTTCGAGTTGCCACGTTCCAAATAGCACACAGAGGTAGACAAGAAGATGAGTGAAGAGAATCAATAGAGTTTGACAAGTATAAGAGTGAAACAGAATGGGTAATGGTAGAAAGGAATATGAAAGATTATAGAGACTGAATACATCTGCGCTGGCCATTGACAACGATTTTGAGCCACGTCACCTAAAATCAGGTTTCAGGTGCTTGATGGAAATGGCTTCAGAAAACTTAAGGAGAATTGAGCTATTTTGCTTATTGATAATTTTGAACGACTTTTCGACGTCCACCTCATGACCCGTGTCGAGGAGATGCCTGGTGTTGGCACTGTTTAAAGCATTTGTTCCCTTTAGACGTAAGCTTTTTGGTACATGTTCAGAAAATCGTAGATATGCCCTTCTTTCTGTCTTTCCAAAGTAACTGCTCCCGCAGATGTAACTGATGTCAGTTCTTGATGAAGTCTATAATGAAACTAGCGAAAATCCCTGAAAACCTAAAACTTAAATATTTAATCATATTTTGATGTCTGTCTGTCTTTTTTCGACATAGAACTCTGCACCGATGTGCGGTAATTCAAGTCGCCACACTCCATGTAGCACACAAAGCAAGAGAAGAAAGTAGAAGAATAGAGACAGTAAAATGAGGTGTGAGACAAAGGAATAGTAATAACGAAGAACAATGTAGTTTCATTGGGTATTATAAGATATTTTGATGTGAGTATGAATAAGGGTAACGCGTAAGAGGAATTAATTGCCTTCGACGACCTTCTCTAACTGTTATCAAGAAAAAACAAATTTTCATTGCGACGTATAGTCTCAGTAAACGGAAAAATTGCATTTTTTTAACGAATACATTCCGTTATTATACAACAGGTTTTACTTATAGGAGCATTACCAACTAATTAAGGTTTGCAGACAAGCCTCGAATCGAAGCATCTGGTTCATGGTTAAAAACGGCTACTTTTCTGCTAGAATAAAAATAAATGAACATGTGAAACTCCTCAAATACACAGAAGCGTAACATGAAGATGAGAAAGACTGTTACGTCATTTAAACGAATTACAGTTTTTACGCCATAAGACAAATTCTTTTCTTCTTGACTTTAAAATTAGCTCGCTACTACTGTTTTTCGGCTTACAGTATACGCCATGTTGATAAGCTATTGAAATACAATCGAATGAATAAGTCCAATTTCTAGTCCACTCAATATTCCTTTGCGTTTGATTGGTTTGGCAGCATGCCTTACACTATCAACGTACTTTTTTTGAAAAATGAAATGTCTTTAAACAAGCATACATTGTGTGTTCAACTAACGATAACACAGTTAAACTACACTTGAAACAACATTAATCATGATAAATCATGTTGATAAAACAACAAGGATTCCTGTTGTATCCATACTCATATAGCTGACAAATTAAATAAAGCGAAAGTCTATAGAATAATGCAAAATTACTTCTTTTTTTTCATTATCGGTACAAAGTGTCAACCAAAAACAAAAAAAAGTTAAGACTTCTCAAACTAACCTTAAATTCAGTACTCTCTGTTATTGTAATCTTGATTCTTGTTTGTTGTCCTAGTCTCGGTTTCCCAGTTTCTACTAAGCCAAGTGATTTACGTGGATTTAACAGATTAGGAGTCTCATCCTTATTGTGAGGCGCAAGGGAATGACGCTTTACATTACTGGCTAAACTATCTGAACGTTGAGTAAACCGTGAGAACAGACTACTTGGTGCTAAATAAAAGACAGCAGAAAACAGTTCATGATAAATTTATGTACAATACAATGAGCAGAAAAGTTAACAGAAGCCTCTTCCTCAAAGATAATGTCATATATATATATATACGATAAATTGACAAAAAAACTCAATTGTAAAAGAAAAAGATAAACATCTGAAGTCGGTGAATCTAAAAAAACCTTCATAGGCATAATTTTTCGGTCTGATGACAGTAATTAATCTACACAGTGCAAAGAAGGTGGATTAAGAATCAGAAATCTATGTTTACATTATTGTAAAAGGCAACTAGGTTTTCATGCTCACTGATAACTAGATAAACATGCATGAAATAAAAAGGAAGAGAAATAGAGTTAGCTTCACTTATGGAGGAATTTCTCGATAACAACTTTGTTCGTAAAGTAGAGTTAGAAAGTTTCGAAATTTTGAGATTCAGAATAATATTTAATATTGACAGCTTGCTTCAACCACTCGACTACCTGAATTTTCATCCAGTATGATAATGTCAAGTTTCTCCATTTCTTGTTGTTTTAATCATTCAATTATGTCTTTGGAGCGCGAAATGTACTGGCGTACATTTTTAGTTGAATTTCAACCAAGCTTTGTGACTTCCTCGAAGGAGACGAAGAACAACATTTCGTTAGGCGATATACTATTGATTATAATTGTAACTGAGGGTCCTGGACGAAGAGAAAGTATTATTCAAGACATTGCCCATAAGATTATGTACATTGCGTAGACATTTTGTTGAGAATAAAGCTGTTATTATCATTATTTTTCTGCACCATGTCGAAATAACTCCACAGTTTATACTAAAAATGTATTCACGTTGCTTTGACAAAGATGGTCAAAGGAACACATTGTATAGGATTATAGCAGTGAGATGATAACCTGAATCCGAAGATGTACAATTACTGGCGAGCAACGCTATGAAGCATAGGATTAAAGGAAGACAAAGATTTCTCGAAAAAAACAGTAGTTGTTACGTATCTAGAATACAAATGCCTTAGCAAAAAAATTACACGGGATTATAGCGAATTACAGGTGTATAGAAAATAAGCATGGAAACAAAATTGAAATAATAATTTTCAACTTGATATGGGAGTTAGGAGGTGCGAATAGAGATTACAAGAGCCTTAGAAACACAAAACTTGCACAGGATTAAGATATAATTGTAAAATAGTTATTTTAAACGAATTATAAATGTGAACAGGAAAAGCGTGGAAACAAACTTAAAATAACTGTTTTTAAAACTGAAAAAAATGGAGAGAATCGAATGAAGACAGAGAGAGTAAGAATCACACACACACACACAGCGAACGAAAAAAGATCAAAAAAGAGAACAAAAGAAGTAAAAAACGGAGGCTAAGGGAACATACCGAACTAGGTCCATGGTAGTTGTAGAGGTTGGGCTAATTTCTTTTGAACGCACAGCTCCGGCTTCTCGATCTATATTGCGATGAGGGACCGATTCAATCAGAAGTGCCATTATTGAACATCTGATTAACACCTTCCACAACATTTTAACTGATTCTTTCAAAGTAATTTACGAAGTCAACAGAAACCAACCAAAAGCAGTATGTTTGACCTCTGTACTTCAGAAGCTCTCGCGATACGCATCGAGAAGCCGGAGCTGTGCGTCCAAAAGAAATTAGCCCAACCTCTACAACTACCATGGACCTAGTTCGGTATGTTCCCTTAGCCTCCGTTTTTTGCTTCTTTTGTTCTCTTTTTTGATCTTTTTTCGTTCGCTGTGTGTGTGTGTGTGTGATTCTTACTCTCTCTGTCTTCATTCGATTCTCTCCATTTTTTTCAGTTTTAAAAACAGTTATTTTAAGTTTGTTTCCACGCTTTTCCTGTTCACATTTATAATTCGTTTAAAATAACTATTTTACAATTATATCTTAATCCTGTGCAAGTTTTGTGTTTCTAAGGCTCTTGTAATCTCTATTCGCACCTCCTAACTCCCATATCAAGTTGAAAATTATTATTTCACTTTTGTTACGTATCTTACATAGTGTATAACCAACAGGTAATCGTAGACGCATCTCTCATTAAAACGTGAAGGTTTAGAAGTAAAAGTCCAATATTAGATAATTTGATTTTACACAACACTCATAGTGATACAGTATCGAAAGCTGCATGACATTTCGAGCAAAATTTATTCCCCATAATCACATCAGTGTCATAGGATATGATTAAGAGCACAATGACCAAATTCTATACTAACATAAGTAGTGTAAGGATATTCGTAGTCACTTTAGAATTTTTACGTTTTAGGAAATTTCGTAATCTCTTTTTACAAAACAGACGTTATGGGTAATAAAACTTACCATCATCATCTGTGTATGTATGTTTATGATATATATATATATATATATATATATATATATATAAACTTTTTCTGTCACTTAAACAACAACTAGTTTCAGCCAGATAAGATGAAGGAGACAAATGATGTCAAGGAGAAGAAGAATAAGAGGAAGAGGAGAAAGAAATAAGCGATGGGTTTTTTGTTCCCAAAGGAATCAGCTCAAATTTTGTACAGATATTTCTGTTCACTGAAGCACACTGAAATTTACCATTCAAAATATTTTAATCAGGAAGTCAATGGACTAACATAAGTATTTCCTAACTTGGGATATTTCGATTGCTTTAGTTAATTTTTTTTATTACTTTTCATTTTACTATTTATTTTTTTTTGTCTTTTTGATTAGACAAATAAACCATTGACAAAACTTCAGTTCAACAAAAGTTCTTATTTTAAGTTTTTATGAGAAGAAATTCAAGTGGACATTATAACAGTTGATAAATTGAATGTGTATTCTTGTTTTATTAGATTACAAAAATCATACACTCAGCTGTAACTTAGTTTAAAAATTGTAGAAAAGGTACGATTTACTAAAAATTTGATGCTAAGTGATACTGTAGGCCTAATTTAATATTCATAACTTATAGATTATTAGGAGGAAAGTAAAACTAAAGAAAATTCAACTAATACAGATGTTAGTTGAATGGTACTTTGATAATAAAGCCACACTAAATCTCATCTTTGGCTGTTTCGTTAATTTCTTGCTACTTTCAGTACTGTAGTAAGTTGTAGTGTGTTAATAAATAACCTTTTTCATTGAAAAATATGTCACAGTTCCATGTCCATGAGGCTTCATCAACAGAAAAAACTCTCACTCTTTTTTATTAACCTTGAGTTATCTGAGTAGTAATAAGAAAACAGAAGGTAACGCCACTGGATTCACATGTTCATATATTCCATTACTTGAATCATATTTTGATTTTAGTTCAAGATTGTAAAATTAAGCAGAATTTAGATGGAAGAAATCTCAATGTGATCCTACATAGATGTTAAAAATTCAGATGGGCAGAGTTCAGGTATTTAGAAATAGGATTAAAAATTTTAGAAATGATCCACTGAAACAACTACTAGAATCAGTCTTAGTATTTGTGTGGAATTTCATCAGATGATTCATTGTTATTTTTATTATTATATCCTTTAATTCCTAGAGGAATATAGGGATTCAGCTGCGCGTCTCCATGGCGTTCAGTTCTCTGCCAACTCTTTCACCCCGCTCCAAGTCTGCCCACACGCTGTCATCTCATCTTCACACGACCTCCTCCAAGTCACCCCACCCTAGCACTGACGACCAACTCGCCGCCCGCTTCCCTTTCGGGTTCCACTCGAGCGATGGCTTGTCTAGTGATGTCACTCACTTGATGGTTTGTTTCCTCAGAGTATGGCCAGCCAATCCATCTCCATTTCTTCCTGCCTATTTGTTTCACAATCGGTTCCTGCTGTGTTGGTTCGCTCATTGCCAGAGATCCCTCCCTGTTGGTGATCTTTTCTATCCGGCCATCTGATTTTGAGTAGTATTGAGCGAAGACAGCTAGCTGTTGATGAAGGTCTGTAGTTTGTTTGAGATGGTCTTTATGACGCGCAGTGCAAGTCTCTGATCCGTATGGTGAGTAGCACTGACTGATTTCACATTGGAGTTGACAATCCGGATGTTATTTTTGATGTTGAGTGCTGTTCACCTCCACACAGACTTGAGAGTAATGAAAGCTTGTCTTGCTTTACTGATTCTGGCTTTGATATCCTCGTCCATATGATTCATATGTAATGCTTTTTGTTTACTAAACGTGTACCTCAGATAGACTAGCTCGTGAAAGATACTTATATACATGACGCATATATATATATATATGCATGTAGTACGCTTCATTGAAGCACATGCAAGTGGTAATAGAATCAACTGTATAAGCGAAGTATCACTTCATACAATCGTAATCGTCTACCTGAAAATCCATAAAATTCATTATTAGATCTGTTTCAGAAGTGAAAGGATCGATTCACTTTGATTAAAAACTGTCTTTAAACTAGAAACACTTAACTGTTTTGACAGTAAGTAAACATTCTTCAGAAGAATAGTAAATAATATGGACTACTCTTCACGAGAGTCAATTTTTTGTAAATGAGCTTTATCAATACAACAAATAGGCGTAGAAGATAAATCTGTTTGATTGTTTGTTCTCATTTTTCAGTGAATAAATGACAGTGAACTAATTAATGAAACGGGAATAGTAAACATTGAATTTCTGTTATTGATTTCCGTCATTCCATATGGTATTCTGCACTGAGATGAAATTTTGTGATCCTGTGTTATTCATCCTATTACCATTGTTGATGATTACAGCAAATACGGTACACATTTTTGATTTATAACACTTCTATGTATACCTGTACACGAATAATTTTACTATATTACCAGGTAAGAGCACAAATATAAGATAACATTATCGTTGACTAATGGGAAGAAGAGTATGAACATTTATATCTTTGAATTAACTCTCAAAGCTAGATTGTTCTCTTGGTTTCCGAGTGTAAAACACGAATTCAGCAGCACATCTCCATCTCAACCTGTTCTCTGCAGTCATCTTTAGCTGACTCAATGATTCCTTATAAATGTCCACCTCATACAATCACCTACATATCACTCCTGGATGCACAAATCGTTGTTTCTCATTCGAGTTCTACTCGAAAACCTGTTGCATCAAATCATTTAACTGTCTCCTCAGCTTGTGTCCAATCTATCTCCATTTTATTCGACATAATTGATGTGCCGAAAATAGGTTATTTTTTGGCTCGTTGCCAAAGTTCTTTATGGTTTACTCTTTTCAGACATCTGAGCTTCAGTATAAAAGCGACGAAGGTAGGTGTCGACAAAACTCTGAGACAGGCTGTTGGAAATTTACCAAGTCTGTGAAGCATAGTGAAACACTGACTTTAAATAAGTGTTCTTTATGCTGAGTGGAGAGTAGATTTTCACATTGATTTCAGATAAATAAAGGTCTGTCTTGCTTTTCTGATCCTACCCTGCAGATCCTTATCTGCACTGCCTGCAGATGCTGCCCAAAGTAAGCAAAAGGAGGTGACCTCCTTCAAATTCCTCCCGTTGATGGTGTTTTGTCCTTGTTACTGTCCGTCAGGGTTTTTACATCCTTTTTGTCGTAATACTTCTAAAATTACTGAATTTGTTGGGACCATTGATCGTATACTACGAATTATATTCACAGGAAGTGGTTTATTGTACAAATTATAGAAGAACTGAAAAACTATCGGGGGTGCAATATAATTTACAGTGACGTGTGATAGTTAGTTGATAATTTGATGCTTGAATATATATGATGACCGATTTTCATTTATAAAGAGGTATTTGTGAATAATGAAAACACAGTATTATTCAAAAGTGAATAAAGGTTTGAGTGAAAGTTTTGATGAAAAATCTCTAATCCAAATTCATACTACTTATCGGATGGAACGAAATTTAGTAGTAATAACTTTTTCTCTGTCAATAAAGTCTCGCATTATCTCAATGGAAAAAGAATAATGTGTTTCTGCTTAGCTCCATCCACTTTCATTAATTTTGTCCAAATGAATTCAATAAGCAGTGATCACCTTAGCAGTTAATGGTGTACTCAAATATTTCATTAAGTGTAAACTAAAATATTATTTGAGCTAACTAAAGAAATTTACCATTAGAGTTATAGCCTATGATTAAGCGATAGTTTGCTTTCGCAGTAGCTGGTACATGTTAAAGTGGTATAATGAATGGTAAGAAGACCTTAGAATAAATGATGAATGTACAATATGATTTTTGAGATTCCTCAAATTTAAAGCAAGCTGACAAAGCGAAATAAAAAAGCAATACAAATGAAGTTGTACACCACAGCTAATAAGTTTTAAAGTTAGTGTGAAGATAAAAATAAGACTATGTGATAAAAATTCATTCGATACTAAATTTATTCGTTGGATATACTATAAAGGAGTATCTGTCTGTCTGTCTGTTTTCGACATAGAACTTTGCACAAATGTGCGGAAGTTCAAGTCGCCACATTCCGTGTAGCACGCGAAGCAAGAGAAGAAAGTACAAGAAAAGCATAATAGAGACAGTGAGCAGAGGTGTGAGACAAAGGAGTAATAACGAAGAATAAAACAGTTTCATTGGAAATCATAAGTCACAAGGAGTGGATGCATCTGCGCCAGCTACTGAGAACGATTTTGAGCCATGTCACCAATTGTTTCCAACCATAGATTTTTACCGTCCCGAGGACCCCAGCCTGGAAGTCTACACCTTCCTACGTGGCTTAGACCAACTGTTGTGGATTTCATTGACTGGTGCCAAGTTTTTGTTTGACCTCCGCTAGCTTTTTTCCAGCCTGACCCCATATCCACTAACATTGCTCGTCGAGGGAGGCGATGGCTTGGCATACGTAACACATGTCCTAACCATCTCAGTCTTTGTAACTTCACGACTTCGTCGATTGATTTCCCCTGTTTACCTAGAACTCTATGCCTTACCTCAATGTTGCTCACCTTATTATGCCACTTTACACGGGAAATAGAGCGCAGGCACCTATGATCAAAGACAGCCAGATAGTCGTTTCATGTCTTCCACTCTCAGTGGCCAGGTCTTACAACCATAAAGGAGGACGGAGCGAACTGATGAGCAGTACACCCGCCCTTTGGTCGCTAGTCGAATATCTCGTCTACGCCAGAGTCGGCGTAAACTGACAAATGCGAAACGAGGCCCCCTGTATCCGTGCCGAGATTTCATCAGAGTATAGTTCTGTCTGTGATATTAACCGTCGTCTACATATCACCACCGACAATTATTGTGAAGATTTTTTTAAATTCTTCACAACCAGAACGATAAGTATCTTTTAGAAGATAGGTCTTTTGCGAAGTAACTTATATGCTCACACTAAAGGATATAATCTGTGTATTGCAAATGCAAATAGTATCTAATATATTGTACTTTCGTTTTAACGGTGTGTGTATAGTCTCTGTACGCATTATACTATTTTTCTTCTCAAACGAAAGTAAAAGCGGAAATATTTAGCCCCCTCCCCACACACACATACTAGAACAGTGAACAGCACAGCAAACTATGCAAATGGCGGCTGTTGGAAAATGGTTGAACTGATCAATTAGTAAAGTGTAGGTTTGTAAGGATTTGATTGGTTACAGGATTTCATCATGAGCTAACACCAGTTAGAGAACCATTGGAAAATCTGGGAGTACTGGACTGGGTTGGGTCCCAGTGGCTGAATGCTCTACGGGCTTGTCTTGTAACCAGAAGGTTCTAGGTTCGATCCCCGTTGGGTGCGTAATGATGAAGAGTCCCAAACCCGAACGAAACAGCAGTCGTGTACTCCCAGGTTTTCCAGTGATTCTCTAACTGATGTCAGCTCATGATGAAATCATCCATATAATCTTTTCTAACCATAGGTTCTGATCAAAACACATCAATATATTAGTAATGAGACTTTTGAATGATACCTCCGTTATATATTTATAGATATCCAACGACCACTGATGAAAAGAAAAGCATACTTGTGGGCCTGCATGTAATTTCAGGTAGGAAAATATTGCATCAGAATTCATATTTAACTCTCTATAGAGTTATATAATAAACATAAATAACACTATTTGGCGTAAGGAAGATACGTCCCGTAGAAAAGTTAACATCTTTGTTCACAGGTTTACACTTCAGTTGTGATACTAATAAACTGGGTCCATTTCAGTTATAGATGTCTTCAAGATAGTGTCTTTAAGTCCCTTCTTTATCAAAACCAAAGTATACAGATCTATCTGAAACGCAGATTTATCATTATGTTGAACAATGTAGTTTAATGACAAAAAAAGATAGATTTCAAATCAAACACTATCAAGAATAACTTATATCTCAATGAATAATTCAGTATGATCACTCACAAGTATAGATGACAGAAACTGTTAAAGTGATTGCTTGAATATGTGTGACAACGTAACAGTTATACATGCAACATGAAGTAAAACTAGAAAGATTGTTTATGTATTACTCATGCAGAATACTAAATACTACAATAACAATTATTGAATATGTATGTATACAAATAATTTACTAATATTCTGTGTGCGTGTATGCAAACATTTGTGCATTTAGTGAACACAGATCACAAATGACAAGGGATAAATAGAAGGCGATGGTTACTATTAGTAGTACATAAATGTGTTTGCATTACATCTAGGCTACAGCTATTCATACTACAATTTAGAAAGAATGAAATGAAGAATACACAATGATGTGAGAATTGTAGTCATAAAATTCATCCTTTCTACTAAGAGATTTTGTATTTGTGAAATGTGAATGTTATACAGAAATTGAATGTGTTAAGAAAACTATTAGCTAACTGATATAAGCTTACCTGTTTCCCAGTCAATAATTGCTATTCATTAAAAGTTAAAAGAGAATATTGAAATTATATAAAGATAAACAATGTGTAAAACACACACTCTGACATGTTGTATGCTATGTGCATGCAAATCATACTCCAGTATATGTGTCTGTTGGTTAGGTACTGTTGAAAGTAGAACAGGTGAATATTTGGTTGGAGGATTCCATCGTGAGCTGACATCAGTTAGTGAACCATTGGAACACCTTGGAGTATTGAACAGTTGTTTCGTATTAGTTTGGGACTCCTCAGCAGTACGCATCGACCGGGGTTCCAACCTAGTAGAATACAGCAGGTAGAAGGTGAGGACAGTTACGCATCAATGAAGACATTGTATCGCGATTGCGCTTGGATCATGTTCAAGTGGTTTAATGATCAACGAGCTCACATTGTAACCAGAAAGTCCTAGTTCGAACCCCATCGGGTGCGCACTTCTGAAGAATCCCGAGGTGGGACGAAATAGCTGTTCAGTACTCTCAGGTTCTCCAATGGTTTTCTGACCGATGTCAGTTTATAATGAAATCCTTAAACCAATTAAACAAGCTCCCTACAAAACTAATGCTTGAAAATAACATATATATTATTTCTAAAAGTTAGCGAATTGCCTCATAAAGTAAATAATTTCATATAATGCTGACATGTGAGTTAAGCATTATCGTGAGTAATAATTCCGCTCCCCACCCCGTCACTCCAAAAAACAAAAAAATATGTTAGGACGTCACATATACCGAAAAAAAAATCAAAGAATTAATATTCAACCATTATTCTCTCTCACTGTAAAAGTAAGCATCCTTGCAAACAAATACGGTGAAACGAAATGCGCTGTCACCATTTACATATTCTACATAAGCTTAAAAAGTAGCAAAATAAAGTGTTATAAAATTTTGAACATTTATGTTGCAAAAGTATAACCAAAGATAGATAGTTGCAAAAAGCTGATTCTTTTTCTTTTATCGGCATTCGCAAACATTAGATCGAAAAAATATGAATTTAACATACTAGAATAACTAAAATTAAAATACACAATATAAAAAGCACTCCAAACTGTATAGGTATCATGGTACTACAGCATAGCTCCTTAATAGTGCGTTTCTGAATCAACAAACATTTCCCCCAATTTCACCAGACTCAGTCTAAAAATAAAGACAATATAGGTGAGGAATTTAAAGCAGACTATTCAGAGAGATAGAGAGTACTAAGGCTTACTAAAAATGACCCCAGTTTTCGTAATTTCCTCATTTGTTCAGTTGTAAATTTATGACGTTTTGAGAAACAGTCTAATTTCCAGGTCTGTCTATGGTCAATACTTTTAAACAGAAATTGTAAGTACATTTCTGCAGTGACCTAAAATATATTTTAGAATTGAAACAACTGTGAAAGATTGATTGAAGAATATTTTCAAGGAGAGTTGCGGTTATAATTCCAAGCAGATGGTTCCCACAGAGAGCGGTGCGGAATTTGTCAGTACGTTAATATTTGCCAAATATACTAATAAATTAAACAATAAAAATTTTTCACCATCACATATGATCCAACAAAAAGAAGGAAAGGAATTAAACGTTAAGCGCATGAAACTCTTGTTCAATCATATATATACATCACGGTAACTAGAGAAGTTTAAAATAACTGCTTAACTGAAAAAATAAAGTTCAGTGCAAAAATTATGGTATAATTCTTTAAAAAAGATATTTGTGCTTTCTTCAAAGGAAAAATTCATAAACACTTCAGTTAATAAATGTGTTAAACATTTTATTTTGTAAACCATCTTTCTACATAAGCACACATAAATTGAAAACCACACCCTTTTTAAATCAAAATTTTGCTATAAAATGACAGAAGGCTTCAGTTTCTTCGATAGAAGACAGTTTTTTTGAAATTTTGCGTGTAATGGAAATTTGATATGTCATTTCAGTCACTCTAAAACTATTGAAGTTTTTTCCCATTAGTAAGAGTTTCTTTAAACGGAGGATAATTTGTTGGTTGTTTTTATATGCCACGTATTATATCACCACATGTAACTGTAGCACTCTACAACAGTATGAATTAAAGATAACATGGAACTATTAATTCACTTATTGTATTCAATACAGTTTTCCCCATAAATAAACTTGATAACAAAGCAAGAACAATAAATGTACGAGGGTAATATAAGCTCGTTTTTTTAATATTTCGTGAATTCGTTTCACCTGTCATCAGGCTCAGAAATATGAAGAATATAAAAGATAAGAAGAGATTTGAATAATACTTTTTTGGGGCTTAACAAAACACCAACTAGTAGGAAACATAAGTAACATAAGTCCGAAGGGAAATAAGTTAACTATTAATAGTTAAAAGGATTTACCGATTACAGGATAACGAGACGGATATTCTTGAAAAAGGACAGAGTTCGAATTTCTGGATAGAAACGAAGTTTCATATAGCAGGAGCATATCATTAAAATAGGTTACGTAAGTGCAAGAATAGTAACGTGAATGATGCTCAGATGTAGGAATAGGTTTCTTTTATACAAAACATAATATAAGGGAGAATACCCACTAGGTGGCACAGTGGGTAGAACTCTCGCCGACCATGCATATGGTCTGGGGTTCGATCCCCTGCCAACGCACACCTGATATCTATGGTCGGCCTACAAAATTAGGGCTACCGATAACCATGCTGAAAATTCCATACTTGTACCGAAAATACGGTGTGGAATCAAGCTGTAATCAAAAATGAAAATGAAATAATAAAAATTGTACATACTTGTTTTGGAAGTATAATCACCAGGATGGTCCTAAATTCACCATTACCTGTTTCTGCATACACAAATTTGGTTAGTCGTAGTAGACTGGGTTTATTTTGCCTGCTAATTATTTTGAACGCCTCCAAACTATTTACCATATGACCAGGATCTAATAGATGCCTCGCAATCACACTGTTTGATGTATATGGGCCTTCAGGTTTCTTGGTATGCTTAAAAATGTGGACAGTGACCTTTCTCTCTGGTTTTCCGATGTGCTTCGCTGCATGTATATTGTTGGATACAGGTGGAGGTAACAAGAGACGGCAATCTTTCCATTCTACATTGTCTAAAACAACTGTTTGTTTGATGTACACATACGAGCTCGATGGCTGGAAATGTTCTTTTTAATACAGAGTTCAGTTTGTACCTTATTCTACTAGTAATATCATTTATTTTGAGGGAAAGATAAACTTTTCTCCATTAAGCAGCGATTCACTTTTCCACAATACATACATTGCAGTGTTTGTAAGTGAACTTCCTCTGTTAACTAGTTGTTGACACAACAATTAAATTTCTTCCATTTTAGTTATTATACTTCAGAAGCAACACCTGTCAACTATTTACTAGCAGAAAATTTTCCCAAAGATTATATCACAACCATAAGCAGTGTACAAAAGGTAAATAGATTGAACAAAATGAATCAGGCATTAAAATAACTACTTATTTATCCAAAAATAATAATAAAATAAAATTCGTATACTAGCAGTTGTGAAAAATAAGAAGTCATAAAAATACTGTTTCAACCTGAGTTCCTTTTGTGGAAACAACATCAATAAAAGAGAAATTTGATAGATACTTGAGTACCACAGTTATTGCTCATTTAAAATGCCAAGGGATTTCAACAATGAATATTTGTAATGAACACAAATAATAATCAACTGTGAATAAACAAAGTAATTATGGTTGATTTAAATGAAACACCGATTTTGTTCTCCAAATTCTAATAAAGTATGTTGTTCTATGAAAATGATGTTGTTATTTCTATCTGGTGTATTTTAATTTAACCTCGCCTAGTTAACTAACTAGCTTGCTAGTTTTCTAGCCGGTCCCAGACCCGGGTAAAGAGGGAGGGTTGCGTATGGGGCTAGCGACCCTACACCATATAAGCTATCCAATTGCTAGAGAAAGTTCAAAGCACAATAAATATATTGAAAATACAGAAAATTCAAATAAAAGTCAATCTGAATGAAGAATATTCTTTTCAGTAATTTCTCTTCAGGTTCTTACATTTATAAAATAGAATATTTTTGTCGTTACAGTAAAGGCCAGTTATGCGGTGGATACATTTTTAACGTAGAATAACAGATTAGTTATGGGGTGTCAAAATAAATAGTCGTATTTGTGTGACAAACATGCCATGCTGAAATGAATATGAAATATTGTAAAACGGGAGACAATGGTGGTGAATAGTCATGATAGATTTGTAGAGTGTAGGCTAGGAACATTGACAAGTCAGTTCAAGGTTGTCGGAGGTGTCAGGTGAGTGGCTAGTACAAAGTGGTCTGTGTTAAACAGGAGATAGTAAGACTGCAACGAGAGGTTCATAATGGAATAACGAATATGTGAAATGAAACAGGTGGAGGCATATATTGAGAAAAGAGAATATCACCAATAATAAGTGCGGATAGTATAAATGAAAAATTCGATAGTATTGAGGGAATGTTTGCATGAAGGGCATAAATTATGACGAATAATAATAATAGTCATAATAATATTTGTAATAATAAGCAAAGGGAAAAACCAAGAGGGTTAAGGGGAAGGAGCACTCTTAGTGAGAAGAAGAATAATCAGTCCAAGTTTGGCCACGGTAGGAACAGTGTCTGGATGTGTTCTTTTTGGATACAAAGTTCCGGTTTAGTCGACCTTATTGCAACAGTTTCGGCTCTGTGTAGGAGACGTAAGCGAACTGTACTCGATAATGACTTCGGAATTTGGTATATACCCCTGAAAGCTGTGTTGACACCGATAAGATGTCCAGTATCGACCAAGTGTGACAGGATCGAGCTATTTGTGCACTTAATTTTCCCCTGCTGAACCAAGCTGGTAAATATTTTCGAACCCGCAGACGAACCTGCCTAATCGTGCGCCCTATAAAACTTGAACTACAGGAACAGTTGAAATAGTATATGCATAAAGAAGAGTTAAGGTTAGGTAAGACATCTTCGACTTGATGGATGAACATTGGACGCTTACTGAAAGATAGACACAGACG